GCATTAAGCGGGCTCGATTGTACTTGGATGGTAAATGGTCGTACTGATTATTCAGCAGTATACCGAGATGATAAGAGTTATCTCTTGGAGGCGGTTTCAGTGCTTAACTTTTCTATGTTCCTTCAAGCTATCAAACGGACTCTTCCAGCAACCATATTTTAGCCGCGACGAGAATGGACTCGCACACATTCCCATCTGAGATACATCCGTCGGAGGTCAATAACTTGATCCCACTCTACCTCCAAGTTGTCCAGATGACAAAGCTAGTCCATGGTAAAACCGACGGCAATCAAAGCATGATGCCTTGGTTCCCGTCGTGCCCCCAACTGTCACGATATCCACACATGAGATGTTACCTTATCAACAAACGTTCCAATGGCTGACTCGGGCCCATCGAACTCGCAATTATCTACCACGTGCACTACACTCGAACGCAAAGATTCAGACGATCACACAACGGACAGCCATCATTCCACAATACTTAGTACATTTTTCAGTGATTCGGATTAATGCCAGATCCATAAACAACAAACTTCATTGTATAAACACACTTGCACAGTTCAATGACCCACAAGCGATCATCGTCACTGAAACATGGTGTTCTTCAGATACATTTGACTCTACTCTGATGATCCCAAACCACCACCTATTTCGGAAAGATCACTGCGACAGAAAAGATGGATGGTGTATTATATATCTACGCAAAACATTTACAGCTAAACCTATAGACCACTCACAATTGGAAATGAGACCAGAATCTATTTGGTTGTCAGTTGCGGGTGTCTCATCTTACACACTGCTCGCATGTAGCTACAACGAACCAAATGCGTCTAACGTAAATATATCACCAACATCACTTCGGCAGTTGACTTCAAACCAGAGTTACCACACAATCAGCAGATTATTGCCATCGATTTCAACCTATCGAACATACGCTGGTCATCCCACCCAACGTCCACCTTGCACGCCTCTTTTCTTTCTTTCATCAGAGCCGGGGGCTGGACACAATGGTCCGCCAGTATACTGGACTTAATATGTACATTGAGGATACGCAATCCACAGACCGAGGTTTTTAACAATCTCTCTGGCAACGACCATCACATGACCCAACTCAGCTTCCAACTTAAAATAGCCACCAAACTCGCCTCCACACCACCAGTTGCAACCCAAAAGATGAACTGTGATTGCTTTCAGCAGTTCATTCGTTTCTCCGACTGGGATGTATTTTTCCTCTCTACCAATGTCTACACCGCTGTAGAGCAGTTCTATAAACAAGTCCATCACTCTATATCTGTCCTCGCTCTACAGTGTGTTCATACCCCAGACGTCTCTAAAGATTCTTCGAGCACTTAATCCGCAACAAAACCAAAATGTTAGCTGCAAGATACAGAAAGACCCAGGAATTTCCCTCTCTTGCAAATGTATGAATTTACCACCAGAGTCAAATACGCGCAGTAAACAGGACGAAAATTGAAGAACTTGCAGCCCTACATACAAACTGTAAAGCTAGAGAGCTTGTCAAAATACTGCATCGTATAACCAGTGATCGCTCTCCCCTGATTACCGAAATTGTTGATGGTGAGGGTCACTTACTCCAAGACCCAGCAGAAATCTGTGAAGTATTCAGTGACTTTTTGCCACTACCATGAGTCACGAAGTTGCCCTGATGCCTGTATGCACAGAGCTCACAGAAACAAACCTCTTAAGCAGAGTCGATATCTCGCTCAACGCTATCCATCAAGTTATCAAATTAAGCAGGCCATTTTCCAAGCTGGGATATGATGGCACATCACCAGCCACCATTAAACTAAGAGGGTCTGCTCTAATATTCCTACTGATGAGCATGTTCACTCTATCGCTGGAATCTGGCAAATTTACAGTCCAATGGAAGCCTCATGTATTATGTCTCGGTATAAAGGAGGTCCCAAAACAAACGATTGATAACTACCGTCTAATCCATCACACTCCGATAATCGCTCGGATATTTGAACAACTGGTCGGAAAGGAGATGATGAAGTTTGTTGCTTCTATTGGCCTGAGCAATAATTCGCAGCACGGTTTTTTCACAAGCTATTGTGCACCACCTGTCAACTACACTAACCTTAACCACCTTTCAGAATCAATCGATTCCGGCTATGCAGCTGTAATCCTGTTTCAGACTATACACCAAGCATTCGACCGAGTACCGCGCAGGTGAATGTCACAGAAGTTGGAGTACTTTATGATCCGGGACCCATTACAGTGTGGGCTATAGCCATACCTGAGTAATCGTCATCAGCTAGGCACTTTATGCGATTATCGCTCGCTTCTACACTCAATCAGCAGTGGAGTCATTTAAGAGAGTGTGATCGGCTCCTTCCTATTTTGTTCTACATCAATGACATCACGACATCTGTACAACATGGCACAACAATTTTGTTTACTGACGGTACCAAACTAGTCTATAAGTTTCGGCGTGACGAGCTTCACAGGACATTATTGCTCATTCAAGATGATTTACATTCCCTTGAATCATGTCGCTGCACATGGGTGATAAAACTAGCCAATCAAGCATCATGTCTTACTGCTGCTACATCCCCGAAGGATTTATCATCCTAAACAATGAACGCGTCCCTACACAGTGGTCCACGCGAGATCTTAGAATTAGGTATTCGTCTAGCTTCCAATTCTCCGAACAAGCCCAATACCAAGTAGCACGTGTCAGACAGTCTAAGTTCAATATTTCGAACAAAATACACACAACTCCTACCGGAGTTGAGCATTTAAAACTATTCACTCACCCCATCCTCGAATACTGCAGCAAAATATAGGGAAATATGAGGGTGGCAGAATTGCTGTGGAGCACGTGCAGAGGTTGTTTACTAAACATCTGATCGGTAAACACTCTGCAATGAGTTATTGAGTACGATGCAATGAACTTCATCTCGAACCACTTTGGATTCGACGATTGAGGCACAACTTGTTGCTGCTTTTCAACATGTTACACAAAATGAGCTATTCCAACCTGCATACACACAATTTACAACATTGCTCAACTCAAGCGCTTCGCAGCAAAGATTTTACATTGCATATACCGAAGGCTGGAAAGAACTTCCACTCTAACTTTTTCCAGGTCAGATACAGCTATTTGTGGAATAAACTACCAAAAACTCTCAGGTCATGTGCCAATGTGGCAACATTTAGTAGCAGACTCGCCAATTCCCTTGCTCTAACTACCCCGAGCTCTATATTCACACGGGGAAATTTCCTCGATGGGCTATTTCAAGAGAGGCCTAAAAGATATAACACTAATCTTTTCATAACTAGGTTTTGGCCTCAATTCTCCACCAGAATGTTAATACATGAAACTCATATCCCAATACTCTACCTATGCATGTCACCCATGCAAGAGCATCTGTATAAACTGATCTGTGTCGTTGTAGAAACAGTTTCCCTCATCAAGAGAAATATACGTATTATTATTATTATTATTATTATTATTATTATTCGGGTTGCACTTAACATTCCTCATTGACAACCAGTCAAATGCAACTGTCGGAATGCCCGTCGTCGGTCGAGGTGACAGAAATCGCCTGAGTGGGTACCACTTTTACTAGAGATTTAAGCAGAAATCGAACCCCAGCATGCTTTCTACCAATATACGCGACAAAACTTCCATCCACTTCATTGATAATGCTACCTAGACTATTGACGAAGCAATTAAAAGCAAAGTGCTCAGTTTGTCGCGAGAAGCAACAAGTTAACAATGTACCCAAGCGGCCATCACTCCTAGAAGTTTCACTCCTGTTTGATCAATGCGCTAACTACTGTGATGTGTGAACTTCGAAGAGGCAATCATTACTGCTAACCTCTCAACTAAAACTCCACCAGAAACTCAGCTTGTATATGGTGCTTCAAATAATAGTAGCGGCTTCTTACATGATACAATAATCCTTAACTGTTCCCAACTGTAGTCTAGCCCATTACATATAAAATGAGGCTGTAATATCTATACCAAGATTAAGATGACCAGGAAGCCAGCTAAGTCCAGTTTCTGTTAGTGGTGGTAACCAGGTGGAGCTCAGTCACATCACATGAGGCGAGAATGCGTGTCTTGACGAAGTTTTCGGTACAAGCCTTTAACCTGTTATAATTGCTTATGATAGTTCTGAAATGGTTCCCCTTCCGAATGATCGCGGTTTCGTCATATCAATGTTAAGTGTGTATGTTTTAAATGGACAGCAGCTGACACCTCCAGGATGTAGCAACGATTCTAAACATTTCAGACTGCTTTTGTTAGCATGCCCATTTGAGAAACTGCATGAAACAATCACTTCGGTTGGTAGAACAGGTCTTTCTGGACCATGTGCTTGCTCCACGCAGAGAAAAAACATTCACACATGGTTTGTGCTTAACTAGTCGGTCCGAATTAAAACCTGATCACTGTGATCCCTGTGATTATCCCACAAGTACCTACCGAATGCACTTTTATATGCCTTATGACAAACTGTCAAGGGGACGAAACAGGACACAGCAGTTCGGCGTTGCTCTTGGACTGGTAAGTTTGTCACTGTTTAATAGGTTCTTTGTAAATCTGCACACACCGATAATAAAAGTTGGCAAGCCTCTTTAATGCTTTGCCTACAGTCTACCTTGGTGGTAATTATAGTTCCACCGAGTATATTAGTCGTGTGTCATTGTCTCAGTAACCGCTAATGTTGACGTCACCACGACTGTGACTGAAAATATATGTATATCCGCCCTGGTGAAGCAGATGGAATGGGAATGATGACTTCATGTTGCTGAGTAAACAGTTCTGGTACCTCTAAAAATGAGTAATGATACCTTCTAAAGTTCTCAATAAGATTCATCACCCATTTGGCAGTAAGACTAGTGTAAAACAATTTGCTGCGATATATTGATGCGAAATTGTAACTGATTGTTGTTGGAGCCTGAGTCAGTCAGCCGAAATAAATTTCCAATGGATGGTTAGTACCTCGATTAAATGGGTAACGGGATTAATTTGATCTAAGACGTCCCTGCAAACATTTGAACTTGATTGCGGAATACATATTTCGTGTTTTGTAGGTCGAGAGTAGCAAACTCCAAATTCGTTTCCGCTATTTGAGTTTTATGGGATTTCAAACTAGTTATGACGAGGCGAATGTAACAGCAGTGAGCTGTCAAACACAGTGACCCATCCAGTTAGGTGCAAGATGAAGCTGTAAAAGGTCTCCGACGAGATAATTCAAGTGGTTTGCTTTTTTCCGTCGGTATTTTGGACTAATTTGAGCATAATTTATTGCTGGCATCCCACTTCATCCGGTGCCGAATGCCACTGACGTTTAGCGTAAGCCTGCTTTCTGAAGACCCCGGTACCGTTCTCATTTTAAAACGTATTACATAGCTGTACACACAGTTTCATTAGGTAAGGAAATATTGATAGGGTCTGGAATCCCTTGTGAAATGCAGCGGATAGTTCCGAGTTGATCAAATCTTTTTGCCGATTATTTGCTGCCCGATTTCCTCCACTTGAGTCTCTAAGTGATCAATGCGTTTGATAACCTCCGTCAGACCTTTCTTCAGTTCCATCCGCATAGTGGCCAATTCTTCCTTTAAAGTAATACCAAAATCCATTAAAGAGACAGTTGTGTCTGCTCCACCGGGTATGGCTTGTGCGACTATTGAGACTTCTTTGTTCACGACCTCAGGGATCGCACTACGAGGGATGCTTTCTGTTTCCACGGATTCCCTGGTGAAGCATGCATCTTTGTTAGGATCCTCCTTACTTTCCTTCGGTGGCTCTTCGGGTGTTGCTGAAATTCGTGGTTGGGCTGCCCTGAAAAAGACATCCGATATGTGAAGACATTGATGGATGGAAGAGAGTACAGATTACACAGTGTTATTTTTACTGCTGCTGCGGACACAGATGTAGCAGGTGTGCTATGGAAGTATATGCTCCAATCATTTATAGATAAGCGTGGTTACTCAATAGCAATAAGCTGCTACTCTATATTCCAAGTATAAGTTCAATAAGATTGAAATCCATAATCCGTTCTCAAACCTGACAAATAAAGCGGCCACGGCTGAAATTGTTGAAATGCTTCTTGCAATTCACAATATGCCTTACTTCTAATTCTGATTCTTCAGGAACCCATCTATTTACTCTGTGTTACATGACTCCAAAGGTCACGTTTAGTTAGAGTATACCGTGAATGAGAAAACTGTAATGCTTGGTCTGTAGTACGAATACTTTTCCTGTGTTGTTCAGCTAGAAGAGCTGCCTAGTAACACCTCTTTGAGAAAACGTTACATGTGTTTCAGCAAAAACAACTTCGCTACTCAACCCAATTATTTCCCAAAAGGGAATTGTCTTCAATAAAATAGATTTTAATGCATATTGGACTAGCAGAAACCAGGGGCCGGAGTAGATTCATAAGAAGATGGTGTAACTAAAATCTAATTGCTATTGATCATTGTTGAGATGCAACAATGTAACCAAATATCAAATTAGTGGACCAGCTTACCAAACTGATTGGTATGAGCAACGAAAACTTCGACCGAGATGGAGAATAATACCCATCAATGCTTATTGAATTCGGAGTCAGTCCGCTCGATTCAAAGCATGTACAAATGACGCTGAGGGTATTCCAAGGTAACGTGTTCTATCATCTGATCAGCCTATGTTTGAGTGGCATGAGCAGAGTGGGTCTTCACGCAGCCACACAGTAATCAAAACGCTGCGTTTACGGAATGAATTGTCGTTTCACAATGGAAAATCCTCTGCAAAGTTTCGTATACGTGTTCAAGTTAGTCAATAAAGCTTCAATTCCTGCAGGATTGCAGACATCTAACAATCCATGTCATAATCCGAGTCTTACCATTGCCTACTCCGATGCACTTGCGATACGAAAAGCAGTACATTTTTGCACCCTAGAACATGGAGACCAAACTTAGTTAACATCTATCATGGTTTAGGCAAACTTTTCAGAACCCTTAGTAAGACAGTGGCAGGAAATAGTGAGAAAGTTAGAGTGAATGTTATTCTTAGTGGAGTTCTGGGACATATTAGTTCTTCAAGTGTTCTCATACTGCATATGACAGGATAGAAATGTACGATGAACTAGTGAGCGTGTGTTTGTACAGATGCTTTTTGAAACCAGCTAAATTGCTAAAGACCGAGCTGTCAACAGTTTTTTGAACGGACAACCGCACGCTAAACACAGAAACATGCCGGTTAACTGGTAAAGTCAATCAAGACAGCATGCTTTGGAGTCTCGCCAAGGGTTCAATATATGGTTTACGGTAAACAGTAAATTTATAAAGAAGAAAACACTAAAACGTTTGCCAAAAAGCCAAAATTGAGGTAGATAATATTTACCTTAGCGACAAGTTTTCGCATTACTTAGATTTTGTAGCCTACGGGTATGAAAGCAGCTACACATTTGGAACATTGATATACCCTATGGGGGTGGTTAAGTTCATGGTAAAATGGAATCAAAATTTAGGCAGTGTTTTAGTACCTACCGATTGACATTTTATACCAACATAATGAAAATGCTGCGGGATATGTTTTCAGCAACGTTGCCTTAGCGTGAGAAGCACTGCACACACGCCGACTGAGGGAAGTAACAACAAGACTACGCAGTACACCACACAAGTACTGTCGCTCAATTATCTACAGATTTCCAAGCCTGGTGTAAACATGACGGTTAAAAACCCAGTTGAATGAACCACACCAATAAACGTCTATGCAAGTTAACCTTATTTACTTTGAAAGCAAACGCGCCCACTTGTTTGCGGGATTTGGATGAACTGTCACGGTATTGGGGGTAATTTGAGTGGAGGATGAAGTGATGATGTTCACTGTATCGTTGTTGTTCACTGCGTTGCTGGGATTGTGGGTTCCAAGCATGGTCACAGACTGCTGCTGCATATGCATTTCGGATTCGGTCGACTTCCCCATTGCACCTGGCCGCGGGTCAGACAAACTACTGGTTTTGCGCGCCTCCAGTTGAATGCTCCCTGACATACTGTCCAAATCGGATCCGACTACCGAGGAGTCACCGGAGACAATGGTGCCCAATTCGCGTCTTGCTGACTGATCCATCTGGCTTGAACGACGTAGTCGTGAAATCAGCTTGCGCACGGGATGTTCCGCTGGTAGTGTACTGAGCGGTGGTTCCTTTGTGTTGCGCATCGACAGTTCCAATTCTCTTTTCACATCTGCCAGTTTTCTAAATACTACCTATTAGAAAAGATGATATTTCTTTGGCAGGTTATATTGCGTTTAGATGTTTCAATGTTCATAGGGCGATAGCGAAGCAAACGAAGACACGATGCAACCAAATTCGATTGCGAACGGTCCACACTGCTGTTGAATATTACTGTGTTAGTTCGAGCAAAGGTAAAGTAAAATTGCCGTCATGGTGATGACGCCAAAAACACGGTATTGAGCTAACATTAATTTTGCACACCGCCTAATCGCAGGTGGACTGCAACTTGCAGACTTTTCCTCCAAACATCAGCTACGTCACATCATCCAATGACTGATCATTTGAAGACGCACGAATGCTAGGGAAACTTAGATGGACTTAAGTGCATCAATTATCTTTTAAATGTGCAACTTGTTCTTCTGTAGTGGCCTTTGCTTCATCCGAAGGAGGCGATGTGTTTGAAATGTTAGCGCATTCTTGTGAGGAATATTATAGCACCTCAGATAAATCAACTATGTGAATCTTAAAAGATAATAGAACAAGCTGTTTAGCACAAAAGAACACACAAATAAATAGTTAGCTCTCCATATGTACAGTTGAACAACATTTGCATAACCAACTGTTTCAGAGGTATATTTTTCCGTCCCAGTACTTCTGCTGTTGCCGGATGGCTCATGTTTACACAAACAACTGCTTGTTACTTTAAACGCATTTAGAGTAGCAAGCGGTTTACTATCCGCCTAGCTATTTAATTTCTAGCAATTACAAGATTTTTCCGTTGACCATAACACAGTGGCATGGCAACTACCTCCGCAGCCCGACGCGGTGGTAAAATTTTCATGTTGAATGAGGGCAGAATAGGCGTTTGATGGCTACACAATCGGCTCAGGCTAAACTACACATTAGTTTTGCATGAGATGGATAATCTTTGGGGACACTGAGATAAATGTGGGGAAACTAACCACAATGGGTTAAGCAAGAGGATCGCTCGGAAGAACGTTTGCACCGGTGTGACACATGACGCAAATATGTTGTTGGCAATACAGGGTAACATTAAAATAGTTAACACAGCTTCTCCGGATATTTTGCCCTTTATATTTGGTATCGAACAATTAATGGTAGTAAAAATGCTTCCTCTGCCACATGTCGCCCGGGGAGGACCCTCCCCTTGCTACGCATCTGCCACAACAGTGTCTTTACGCTACCCAGCAAGTTCACTACCCCGGCGGCGGATTGACCCTTCAAAGTGTCCCATGAAAACCATCTTTGTAATTAAAGAACAATAAGAACAATACACCCCTTCGACTACCTCGCGTACAATGAAAGTTTCTGAGTAACATAAAAGCAAATTCTTGCAATCAGTGTACTGGATAACAGATCATACCCTGTTGCATAGGTTATAGTTCAGCTCCAAATTGCGTGCGAAGCTGTTGGAGAACGCGTGATAGAACTGTAACACAGCTCGAAGCCGCTCCAGTCGTATGGTGTGTAGCGTACAATAGGTCAAGGCACGAACGCTGGCTGCCGAAGGGACGGAATTCGTAGTTCGCCATGATGGATTACCAAAAACGTCTCCTCTGCCTGACAGGAAAAATTGGAAATCATAATCATCTGCATCAAGTCTTTAATTTTGGCACTTCCCAGTCTACAAATTAAGTCACGGATAAAGCCCGAAGAAGCGGGCACTGGTATAATCAAACTGGAAAGCATGTGTGACTACTCGGTAAATGGAAAGACAATATATGAAGTAAGTTTTAAGGTTTTATTATCCGTGCCCTTTGTCTGGACTACGTCATGCCGAGAAAAGTCCAAAATGTGGATACACCCCTTTGCGGTGTCGTTACTTCTTGACAAAACAGTGCACTGATAATTATTGCACCTTTTCGGTCCATCGGTTACAGCCGAAGTTTTAGCTTGAATCCGGAACCTTATGCCTGCTAAGTGAAGGCTTTGATAACCTGGCCCCGCACTGCGAACAGCTGTTGCGATGGCAGTTAGGAAGAGAACATTGTAGTATTTGCACGCGTAGAGTTCGGATGGCCAGCGTATCAGGTGGTATGTACTGTGAAATGTAAGTCAGTGCTTTCTGGCATCAATTTATCCTTCATGACAAAGTTCTACTCTACGTCTCATATCACGTGTACGTTGGCATGGTTACCAAGCATGGAGGCTTTATCGGTTTTACTACCATACTTCTCAAGTGCGCAACATTTAGCTAGACTTGGACAAGATCATGGACCAACTTTTGATTCTGGTACTGAGCTTCTCTACAACTTTAACGACTGTAATTACTGATTAATACTTGGCCGGGTATATATCCCGTTGTCGGTTGTGCGCTTACAATGCGATGCAGACATAGTCGCTGTAGTCATTTTGTATAAAATACGAATTACTATATTTCCGTGAGACTAGGTTGGGGACAGTGCCGAGCAAGTCAATTCATGTCAGCATAAGATTTATGTACCATAATGGGTGCATTTTTAGCACATTGCACTATCAACCGTTAATTAACCAAATGTGTATCATCAAACATGTTAAAGTTTAAAAGTTGGTAGAAAAATTAGAAGGGGGCAGTCATAACTCGATCAAGCAACGATCGCATATCGCTTCAGTATATCTTCGGGATTTAGGTCCGTTCTGTAGGGCGGAGGAAGCTAGTGACTACTCATGAACCGGAACGGCAACATAATGCGGGATTGTACAGAATTAACAACCAGCGCAATAAATAGACGAGACAAGGCTCTGCGAGCGTTGCGGATCGTGCCGACAGCGGATCACGATCGGCATCTGATAACGAGCCTGGGCTCGGAACAATGGAGGAGGTATTTGTCGAGAACGCAATGAATAAGACAAGTACGCCGCTAGCGAACCCCACAGGAGTGAGCGCGGGTAGAGTGATACAATCTCGGGAGAGCAAATGGCGAGCTTTCGAACGGCTCATGGCCGGCCAGCATCGGATGTAACGAAGCTGAGATACGGGATGAAAAGATGGATGGATTGTCTCGAAGCCCAACCCCGTAGGCACCTGGAATGTCCCGTCACACAAATCGTCATCCGCGTTGCGTCGTGGGAAGGAAACACACTGCAAATCTGTGCGAGTTTGTGAGTTGTCAGTGGCAAGTTCTGCTGGTAATACACGCTCCGCCCTCCCCCCTCTCTGCGTCGCTTTCGCTACAGTTTAAAGGGGCAACTTGTTATTAAAATAATTCTCCATAACTCGTTACACTTGACGTAAACATTTGTGTCCAGAGAAGATCGGGGTTCATGCGGGATGTCTCAGCGGTCATATTTAAGAGCGGACTAAGTAGATTTGTCTCAGAGACCATAGACGTTGAATTACAAAAATATATGTCTCTTATTCTTGCAAATTAAGTATATCTACAGTAAGCAATATAAACAATGATGTGCGGCGGGAAAGGTAACGGCCGATTTAAAGGTGTCGCCACATATCAAAGCATCTGTGATGTCTGACACGGTTGCGAGCTGTACGAAATGATGATGATATGTACATATATATATATATAGCGAGTGAAAATATAGCTATAGGATAAGATGTTCCGTTTATTAGTTATAGGATTTAACGAGTAATATCGACAGTCCAACAATAGAAGTGAAAGATGATATATGAATGATGCTACCTCCCAGTCGGCCTGATTGTGATCACTGGCAACGGTTTCAGAATAGCTGATAATGCAGCCTTCAGAATATCTTCTAATAATGATATGGATGCCCTCGATTTAAACGGTTAAGGTTACTTTGCGCCCTTACAATATGTTAAATGTGTCAGCTACTTATTTTTCTCTTCGAAATATTAGGTATCGACTGCATTCATTTGTATACCATAATTCTTAGAGCGGCTTATTCTTTGTAACTAAATGCCAGAAGGAATATACAGTAGACAGCCCATCAAAGAATAACCGAACATGTATATAGCACTGTCTTAAACTTATGGTGTTACGATATTACAAAGTATTCAAGGATATGAAATTGTCGGACATCAGCCACCTAATAGTGGAACGCATCAGTAACTAAACCGGACCATACACTTATGTTTGAGAAAAATTACTTATCAAAGTTTATACTCTAGTTAGTTGAATGGTTAAACAAACAGTTTGATTTTAACAACATGCTAAAGATAGGTTATGTGCCTAACTACCACAGCCAAATGAAATGCAAGAGTCGGGTGTCCCTTGTTTTTATACCCCGTTGCTTACCGAGCAATGCCACCACTTCGTCGTCCTGTAGAACTTCAAGTGAGCCTGACGCGACGAAACACAACTGGTCCACACTTTCGCCCTGGTGAAAAATTAAGTCTCCAGGAGCAATATGCAGCGTCTGGAAGTGGACTGCTAAGGATCGTCTGCACCCGTCACTGGCCAGTCTGAATGCGGGATGAATATTGAAAACGCATCGGTTCAAATGAACTGATATATCTGCTTGCATGTCCTTTGGACAGTAGTTCAGCACCTGAATCATGAAGCAAGTAGAACAGACATAATGAGAGGAAATTAAGGTTTACAGGTCGACAGTAATGTCGACGTTACATAATGTTGGTTGGCTGCCTACAGTTGGGTGATGGATACTGGATAAGTGCCACGCTTTCCACGCCACTATGAAGACAAGGCTTGATGGATCCCAAACGCGAACAAGAATTTCATTAATGTATACCAAGCAGTAGTTCAATCGAAAAGCCATTTCTATCTTTGATTGGATAATGCTTATTCTTTATCAATTTTAAAGGCAGTCGGATTCTGACTACCTCAAGCGTCTAGCTCTTCTGGCTTCCTACTTCAAAGGCAGTAGTGCTTCTCGTGGTCACCTACTTTGTCTAATGGTGTTGTTACAAAGAAATGATCCAACCTGCAGTATTAATGCGTCTTCATTTGCCTCTATACGAACGTGGCCAAAGTCATTCACCTCATGTTGACTAGATGAATACTCAGCACCGAAAGCATGCGCATTTGGAGTTGTTTGTTTCTGTGACACGTAATTATTTAACCGTACATTTCTTTCCCAAAGATAGTCGTGCCCGGCATTCGGTTTATGACATCTCGTTTTGATGCAAGCAGGATTATGGACTCAATGTTAGTAGGTAATGCAAGTTTAGGGCCAACCATGTCAATGTAGGAACTGTGGTCCACCAGCTCACTCGTCTGGATGCAATGCATCTACGTAAGGCAGTTAAAACTGGTCTCTAAGTTTGCGCGAATCGCACACGGGGTCATTATCTTGGATGCGACATCAGAAAACAATATGCCCTAAATGTTTTTTGTCATGCATGCGTATCTCCCGCGCGATCTCGCCTCTGTGTAGTAATCCGAAAGATATACTGTCTCATAGCTTAAGTACCAGAAAACGACGCGTAGTTGTCAGATTTTAATGACACACTCAAGCATGATCCAACAACCGGAAAGTTCTTGTTGTGATTTCCAAAGTTCTTTCATTAGGACTGAAATAATCAGTGCACTGCAAGCCCTTTTTCTATAAGGATCAATCTAAGTTAAGTGCATGGTTAAGTGAACGGTCTGAAAGTTAGTGTGGATGATAATTCAATCAGGTCCGCCCAATGTGTTCAGGTGGGCACTTTATCTTTGGCGGTATAAAATACTGCTAGGCACAACGGAGCCTGCAAATCAGCTGACTTGCAAAATACTTCAATCTAATATACACAAGAATGTTTCTACCCGTTTCGTTCAAAATATATCACAACACGTTGAGACAGCAAGATTGAGTTGATAGAACCCTTATCTCCGTTGATCCATCAGACAGCCTACGTGGTTGCAATGCGCCGGACAGCTCCATGTTTAACGTCGCTCTAAGTTACTTGTAGTTGGAGTGTAAGTGAATCCAGTGGTGTAGGTCACAGAAGTAAAAATTCATAAACTTACGTATACCAAAGACCAATTTCCTGGCTGGCACTGCCTCTAAGGCTGCAATCAGCACCAGTAACATGATATGTCTTTGAGTGTTCGACAGACAGCAGCCGGTGCTATCTGCCACAATAAGAGACATTCGGGTCGTTATGATTTTGGGTGAATTATATATTTTCAGTGCATTGTAAGCATTAAGAGTGCATTTCCGCTGTTAATCAGAGTTTCGTTGTTTAATTTTGATGATTGAATAATTATAAAGTCTACTAATCTAGTTAACTGGTCCACTTACCGGTATTTTATATATATATATATATATATATATATATATATATATATACAAATATATATATATATATATATATATATATATATATATATATATATATATATATATATATATATATATATATATGGTTGGCGGCATCCGGTTTCGGATTTGCCTGTCACGGTGGCCAGCCACAGGACGCCTGTGCCTACAGAGGAACCATGGGTGGCCTGCGCTGCACCACCCACAGTTCTATCCACATACCCCATATCCAGTGTAAACCCAAAGGAACAAGACCGAAAGGCATGTGGATGGGCATATATAAATATATATATATATATGCTATTGTGAGGTTAACTTGGGCCAACGTATAACAGCTGCTGAGTGCCAAACTGCTGCAAAGAGCGGGAAACGTAAACCTCATATCGGTTACTGCGCCTTTGGAAATTACTTGCTCTTGATTCCAGGGTAAAAGCATCACAGTGTAGAAAATACTTATCAACACAGCTCCGATACGAAAGATAACTGGAACAGAGTTACGACTTAAAAGCTTCTTATGTTGGGCTTCGCGAGGTAGACGTCAACCCACCGAACGAGTAGTAGCTTGGCGAAAGCAAAATAGGTCGACGTAGGACGGAAATATACCGAACCGCAGTTGTACGCTCGGTTGCTTTTATTGCTCTTAAAGAATCAAGGGACGTGTGAGTGGTGTGAAACAAGCGACAGTAACAAATTTTCTGCGACACGGACGAAACATTAGTTTGATTATAGCTGGAGATGTTCTGCTACAAAACACACAGTTGCTTGTGGTAAACTGCACACTTACCTTCCTAAACAAGTTAATTTGTTTCGTTTCTCTGCGCATTTGACTTCAATCTGTGTGGAATTCTGTTTTTCTGCACAAGTTACAAGCTTCGGTCTGGATCAGGGACGCGAACTCGACTTGCTTCTCAGACAGTGAAATTTTCCTCGGAGCATGTTGTGCGAGACCTAACACTCTTCACTTGACAGTCGCCCTGAGCTAGACGTCAAGACAACATAAAGTGAAGTTTTTCCATTCTAGCCAGCTGCCTTTAAAATCAGTGACGAAAACTCTAGTCACATTAATTATTAGTCGTGCTGTAATCAAGGTATCCGAAGTTCAAGACAGCAAGTTTCCCAGAAAAATGAGCAACCTCATTTTGGGAGGGATGTGCATTTTTGGCTGTCATAACTGTCAGCTTAGTACTGTTAGAAACGGGATCCCATTGTAAACTTAAAAACAAACTGGCTGTTTAGTTATGATTTGGCAATCGCTTTCGAGATTTGTAGTATTTGAGAGTAACCCATCAGTTTGTACCCGGGATTCGAATTTAATTCTTATGTCGATAAAAGCCTCGATATGGTCGGTTGAATGGGTTGTAAGAGGGTATTGCTTAACATACACAAGGAGGGTGCAAAGGCACCTACTTAACAGCTCTTCTCTTCCTACTAAATAAGACCATGATTCCGCAGTCAAACCGGTTGACTAACTGGTCGGAGCCTCTCTTTAAACGGAGTGAAGTGGACGCATTTGCCCACCAGTCAAGATAAAACATTTTCGCTGTCAACAGAACTTATTTGAATGATGTCAATACCCAATACCTCGTCTCCTTATGACCGTAGTATTAGAAAACTGGACGTATATGTTAACTGTAGTCTGGGCAGAACATGGTACCCGGTTCGCTATATCGCGGTACAAAGTTCGGCTGCTTAAAACAAGAAATGACTGCCTCCAGATCGATGGCAATTGTTGAGGCCATTCATTAGCCAAATGGGATGAATGCGAATTGCATTAAATATAGGAGCTGTACAAGTCGGTGTATGAATTTGAAAAGTCATAAATTATGAATTATGGGAAACGCCCAGTTTTTCTACGCCTCTACTTCGTCCTCTATTAGTCAAACTCGACCATTAATGCGCTGCTTGGCGACCGGCGATAAACAGTCTAGTAGATACACCAACAAAGCTAAAGATCAATCTAGTAAAAAAGTACTCGGACTACGCCAAATATGCGGTTCTAGAAGCGAACAACTTTTGCTCCTTAGAGGCGCATAAAACGGCATTTCCATTATAATAGGGGCGAAAAGTTTACTCTTGGGTTCACGAAAAACAGCGAGAAACATTTCAAATGCGAAGCGAAACCATTAGTATAGAACACATTTTCTGTTTATTATATAAATTGTGCTCCTCATAAAACTAATTCACCAGCCTACGAAATATCCAGGAATTTGACTTTGGAACTTGACTGAAGATATATCCCATTAAGTGGGTATTGGCGGCTGCTGATCAACCGTGTTATTACCTTGCAAATTGTTTAAAAAACGCCCAGAAAAACCGTACAAAACTGCATAATAAAGCATCCGTATTGGCGAGTCTCATTCAGTCATACGTAATGGTAGTGAAATTTTATAAGAGAAGCGCCTCGATAAAAGCAAATCATCTGTGAGCCACGGTTGATTCGCAATATCAAACATCCGCCGCCAAAAAGAAAAGCCTCTTAGAGTAGAAAATAGATCAGATTGGTAGTGTAGACCGGCATCGTTCTAACTGGCATTCCGCAGTCCCTTAGGTCTGAGGGAGTCAGGCCGGCCTGAATTCGCGGTTTGACAGGCATGCACCGTGCCTAGGACACTGCACAACCTATGCTGAATCAGCAATGGCTGCTTGGTGGTTGGACAATTTTGTGCGGCTGTTATCACGAAGACCATAGGAAATGTTGTTCCCAACGAAGGAGGCAGACCAACCTGAAGCTTAACAACGAATGTATTGTGGGTGCTTACTGTTATCACAGTTGATGACTAGACACAAACATTGCTCAAACTAGGAGGATTCGTAGTGTGGCGGTGACACGACATTAGTGAATGTTCGTTTGTCTCCACACCGATGGGCGATTTTGTCAATCAGTTACCGCTTCAGTGTCAACTGGTATGGCGTTATATAAAGGTCGTAGGAAGGATGCGGAACCTATGTATTCATAGGATAATTAGGCTCTGCTTCCATCTGTATTATGTCTCCGATGGGCTGATCATGTTCGGTACCATAGAATTGTGCTGGAACACCAATTGCGATCAACAGATAGACGACCGACCAACGGAGCCAATCATACAGCGAATCCATCATACTGCTACCAGCCTGCAGATGGTTTTAAGCAAAATGACAATCGTTCGAAAATGTGATATTGTTTAAAACCACCGGCACATTCCGTGCTACACCAATGCGCGCCTAAAGGAAAACCGACAGGTTCTGTCTGAAGTCAAACCATCCAGTCGACATGACCGCAAGCGTCCACACGACTGCACATGCGCACA